TACATACAAAAAAAAAAAAAAATACTCTTAGGGTGACCCACAAATATATCAAAGATCATAAATAATGTACCTGATTCATTATCAAGAACATTGAGATATTATTTGAGGATATTAAATATTCATTGACACAGATTCTGAAGCAAAAATTTAAACAAGGGAAAAAAAGTATACAGAACATACAGTCCTCTATGATCACTTTTAAAAATACTGTTTGAAAATCTGAAAAATAACTAAAACTGGACTATGGTATAAACAGTAATGAAAGCAATAACAGGACACAAGAGTTTCATATGACTGCTTTATAATTCAAATTCTGATAACATAAAATGAGAAAATAGCAAACACGGAAGGGAAGAAAGAACAGTAACTCTGCTTTATGATTACCCAGTACATGTAAAAGGAAAATGTATATGAAATGCTATGAATTAATACCAATTCAAACAGTTGACAAAAATATTACAAATATAAATATTTCCTTATTTTTCAAGAATGTTTAAATGTTCTATTATCAACATGCTGCAGTAACAATACGAATATTTGCACAAAATGATATGAAAGTCTGAATTTTCCATCAGATCTTACAAGTTATTAAATTTGCACTGGATTCATGCATATTTAATTTTCTAACAACAAGAAACAGTTTCTTTCTTATTCAAGTTTTTTTTTTTCTTTTACAACGGAGTCTCAATAAATAATACTACAATCCATGGATCGGAGGGTGGGGGGTCAATACTTGTGAATTTCTCATTCCCATTTTCTATTTTTCGAGAAGCACATCCCACTTCCATTACCTTAATAAGTAGAGGTTGTCTGATGCCCCTGCCTCGGCACCAGCATTCCCTGGCAGAAATTAAGAAAACAATGAGACGATAAGACAAGTGGCAAAAGAGCATAATAATATTGTTTCATTCACTCTTCCCACAACTGCCCATGTGACAGAATGTGCATTACCATTATCACATGAATACTTTTACAAAATACCTGTTATAGATAAGTTTTCTTTACTTCATCAAGTAGCCCTTCATAACAGTTATTTATTCAAGAGCATTAAAAAAAGTTGTATGCTCAGAGAAAGAACTAACAATGCTTCTGAGATATGACATGTTGCAGAATGTTCCCTGAAAAAACACCTTTCTAAAAGTACTTTCCTGATGGGAAAGAGAAGTACATTGTCCATATATCTCATTTCCTTTACACTAAACTTCAACACAAACTGATCCAAAAAGAAGTATATTTAATCAACAATATCTTTATTAATTTAATTTGTTGGTTAAGCCCAAGCAGCCTTACTTGAGGATAAGAGAAACTAAACCCTTAGCCAAGTCACCTTAACTGAACTTTATCTACAGTCCTGATGACGTGACCATCACGTCATGAAAGAATTTGGCTTGCTGGACAGGTGGCATGAACATGCTGTCATGGGAAAATTTGGCTGTGAGCCAGGGTGATGTGAATTTGCCATTGTGAAAATTTTGGCTAAAGGCCGGGGTGACAGGACTGACTTGCCATAAGTGCATAAAGCTCTTGGAGAGTGCTTATACTCTCTTGGCATGGAGCTTTGTCACCACACACAAGTGTTTGTGTGAAGCATCTGGTTTAATTCATTACACTATAAATTATGGTAAATCCTCCATATCTGTTTATTTACATGTTTCTGCAAGTTTCCCCTATTTTCAATCTACCAATTGGAAACTATCTGATAAGCCAGTATGAGAGTGTGTAAAAACTGAAACCTTGATTACAGTAGAAAATCCTGTGTTATCTGTGGCTAGTAGGCAAGGATGGGTTGAGGATTTATGGTATTTAGATTATACTACACTAGAAAAAAGAAAAGATAATCAAGAGTTGTTATAACGACTAAAATGCTATTCATAAAAATATGATAAACTTCAAAAAATAGCTCTCTTGTAATTACAAAGAGGTTGTCGATCAGTTTCGATAACATATACTTCAAAATTATTATACTGACACATATGCTATTGTAGCCACTAAAATTACTAAAAAAGTAACAAACCTACAATTCTAAAATTCTTTATATGATCATGAAAATTTCACAATTTTTTTTTTCTTTCTTTTCTTTTCTTTTCTTTTCTTTTCTTAATTCTAATATAACATGAACTATCACTGTTATGCTTGGCTAACAAGCTTGTTATTTAGGGATACCTACATGTTGTTTCTGCAGACCCTATTATCAGTATCAGTATAAAAGAAAACAACTACATTGCACATTTTAACACACACTTAAAAAATATAGAGGCTACCTCCATCCAACTTTAAGTGTATCTCATGTGACACTCACGCTAAGGTCATGTGATCTCAGATTTTCCATCAGACTTTTCATCTACCTCTCGTCTTTCTTCAATGTCTCGACGACACATTGGACAGATCTCTAACTGCAGGGCACATCTTTCACAGAAGCCTCTGAAAGGAAAAGAAATAGATTCAGAGTCTTGATTCATCTTAAATTATATAATTATAATATTAAACTGTAGGCTAATACATATCATAATTACCCATAGATACTGCAAGTCTCGAGTTCTCAGAAAAATAAGTAATCATGCAGGTTACAAACTTATTTTATACAATTATATAACTTTTTAGGGTTCTGTATCAAATAATGCACTCAATAACCAATCATTTAATTCACATATTCAGTGGTAATTAATAATGATTTTATAATTAATTAGTACAAGACATTCTTTTGATACAGACTGCAGATTATAAATCATGGGTACCACATATATAAAGGATTTATCTTACCTATTAGTTCACTTAGCAAGAAAACTTGGCAAGAACAAAGTAAAGTTACATATATATGTATGTGCTTCAAATTCACAATATCAACACAAATGCAAGCAATTTGCATACCATCTAGCCTTTTATGCCTTACTAAAACAAAAGAGTAATCTAAGCAGATGCAGAACTTCCTTTTATGCATCATTTAACTCATTCTAGACAGGTGTTAGCAATGTACTGACAGCTAGGTTTTGGTCCAGACCATGGCTGTGAACTGGTGGGTAACAAAGTTATTTACATGATGTTCATCCAGATACACATAACCATAAAGAGGACTGCATACTGTACATCTGCACTTGGGAGTTAACATTCCTTTTTTGCAAATTCATGAATAAGGACCACAGGAATGCATGTCCACAGCAAACAGTAACTGAAACCACCTAACTAGCAACACAAAGCTTTGCACATTGCTGCTCAATAATAACAAGCCATCATTCAGCCCAGGTGATGATTTATGCAACCCATCAACATTTGCAAAAATATACTGATGGTCAATTTATTTTATTTCTGCTATTTCAGTAATTTGTTAAATTATATAAAATGAATTGCAATTTCAATTTTTTTTAGTTTCATGAAAATTTAATACAAAACCCCATGTGAAATTACACAAAATCAGAAATGGTAATGGATAAATCTAAACATACATAACATTCAGTCTCCTCCAAGCTTACCTGTGTAAACAAGGCATAAGTGAGATAGTGGCCCTCTCATCAAAACATAACGTACATGCTCCTTCCTCAACACTCATTGCTCTCAGTTTCTGAAGTTTAATGTGCCTGGAAATATGCAGTTGGTATCTTATTTAAAATTTGTGCATGCACTGTACAATTGTTATTATATATTTACATACATGTGTCTCTAATTGAATATCAAGTAAGGTAGCTGAGGATCTGGAATCCCAATAAGATTGGTAAAACAATAATGAAAAAAAAAGGATCAGACAAATTTATCCATTCTGCCAGACCCATACCTTGGTAAAATAATTTTTTCACTCTCTTTCAGGTAAGCATGATCATTGAAGCTCTGGAAGGCAATGTCTTTAGGAGGATGCATGAATGGCTTCTTCCCAAAATTAAACTCACACTGCTGGAAGGACATAAAGCTAGCAGCTGCAAAAAATCCACATCTGAAAAAAGGGAAGGAATAGCATACAGATATACAAAAAAAAAAACTTTCTTTGGGGAAAAATCATTCTGGAAAAATCTGTACTTATACTTCATCACAGATACTATCAGTACAATAAAACAGATAAGATAGTATGAAAATAAAGGGAATAGTTGAAGAGGCTGTAACTGGTATCCTTTCTTTGTAACGAGTGTGCTTTTTATATTAATATGTTGAGTACTATGTCCAGTAGAACAATGCCATTCTGCAATTACTTATAGGTTTTCATCCTTAAAAACTCCATCTGCACATAACTGGTGATTTCTATTTAACTTTAGTTGTAATGCACTTCTAACTGATCACAATTTATGTCAACAATAGCCTTGAACAAAACACCCAACTTAATCAATTCACATCAAAACAGAAGCATTTTAAGGCATTACTTACGTGGCATTATTGAAAACTTCTGTTAGAGGTGGCAATGGGTCACCATTCAGGTAGAAAATGACTTCTGCATTAGTTAGATCAAGGAGGGACCCCAGAACATCTCCAGGCTGCCAGCTAGGGTGCAAGTGACTTTCACTCTGGGCATTGTGCCAGAACAACTGTCTGCACCCATCATATGCCACAGAAAATTCATCATCCCCAATTCCATATCCCTCCTGCAAAAGCAAGGTTGAAAATACATACTTGTATGACTAATGAATTACCTCTAACAATAAGATATCACTGTTCTGATGTACTGCACCTACGAAATTGCATTCTTTTAATTTACTGAATTCCCAAAGTAATTTTTTATCTTTATAAATATTTGAATCAGTAACATTACAAATGAGGTCAAAATTTCACATCTGATTCCATTCACTTTGCATTAACAAGTAGTTAATAGTCTTGCCTACAACAGAACTTTCACATCATCTATCATAAATTTTCCATAGACCTATTTGATGCCTAAAAAATATAGCAATTCTAGCATACATGATTCAGGAACTTGCTATCCTTAGTTGCCCAGCCAATCTGCATGACTCCCGCTGTAATGATAGTAGCCTCATAATACCAAACACCAGAGTCAACTTGGAAGGTACATCTGACACTTTCAAAAGATGAAGCATCACAACGTGCCTGCAAAATATTGAGAACAAGAATATAAGCACTTAAAAAATAGTAGTAATATAAAAATCAATAACAACAATGTGAAACTGCAGCTTTTATCTCATTAACAAAATATCTGATGAGTAAAACTTACTTGTAGACCATCTGGAGATATCTTAAGGTACTCGCTAACATCATTATTATTCAGCATTGCATTTAAATGAGCTGTATCTACATTTTCGTAGGAGTATGGACGACCTTCACAAATAACTGAAAACAAAAGCACTTCCTAAGTCATTTCATTCACAGATATCGTATATTAAACAACCAATAAAATTCATTTCAATATTCTTTTTTTCTTTTAACCCCTACAGTATTACCACAAACTATCACCATAAAGAAATACAGTTACACATACACAAATTATCCAAGCACCATTGAGCACAAAAGCCCACTTGACGGCGAACATAATCACTGTCGCTCATCCACTGTTCCAAGGTTCTCAGGGGATTACAAAGACCCTGTCCCATATACTGCCCTATGCTTGTTTTGTTCTCACTTGTCTGGGCAAATTTTTCAAGAGCTATGAGGGCAAATAAGATGACACAAGGGTGGTTGTCTACATTCTGTCCAGGAAAGATAAGAATAATTCAGTGCCTTTTATATTGTCACAGTTTTTCTTTTTGTTATACTATTTTTGACAAGGCAGTTGAACTTAAAATTATACTTCTGATAAAAAATATATTGGGTATAATATATGCAATAAAACAAAAAATTCCAATGAATGAAATATGTGGAAAAAAAGTCAAGGAAAATCCAAATCTGAATTCCTTAAATCTAAGAAATGCTCAAAAATGGAACGAAAACATTCCATCCTAAAACTCAAAAGATATTACAAACAATAAACATGTTTCATTTTGTTCCTAAGGCCATACTCACAAGATGTGCCACAAGATATTCTAGTGTAGTATCGGTAAGCAGAGCTATGGACGCAGGACCAGCAAGCTTCTCAGCAATACATCCAAGTACCACACAGATATTACGATGCAGCTGAGGGTCTTTCCAGCTTTCTTGTGCACTTTCCTCGCTCAATTCAAAGAATTTACAGAGATGCACCACAGTTTCCTAGATTTAATAAATACAAAGATAACTATTGTAGCTATATATGTATTTGCAGAAAAGATATAAATGATTACAATACACATAAATAATCAAGAAAAAAATTAACTATATACCAGGAGTAATTATAAAACATACTCATTAACAACCTAACCTATTTAGTCATACTGAATCTTATCACAATACAAAAGTGTAAATCAATCATTCAGGTAAAAAAAAGGAAGGACCTCCACAAATGATTCAAAGTCAGAAATGAAAGAATAGGATACCCCCAAGCAGTCTTATAACTCTCGTGAAAAGAAATAGAAAGGAAAATCACCCCCTCAAAAGGATACATAAAAGCCTCACCTTGCTTGGCAGAGGACAGTCATCCAGTAACAGCGTGATGACTGCAGGTCCCAGCGGGTCATGGAGGGGAATCACTTGCACCATGGAACGCACCACAACCAGCCAGCCCGCCTCTTTGTCGGCAATGGTGTGCAGCTTTAGCATGGACGGTGGCGGCTCCTGGTCACTAAATAGGGAACGATCTCTTTTTAAAACCAGACAAGGATGATGATGATTTTTATATGATCAATATCATTAAAAGGCTAATTTGCCATGCACAAAAATGGTAAAAGTAATCTAAAAGAAAAACATGACTCATAGGATATTTACAATAAAGAATGAAATAGATTAATTCCAAAAATTCTTGGTCTATCATAAAAGTTTTAGAATTGAGCACAAAATGGAAGACATGGGTTATACAGATTTTTTTTCCCTTTTTATTTTGCCAGTACAAATTCCAACAGAATGCACACATACAATACAAAGACCTACTTATCAACTAAGGTTCTTATAACTGCAAGGGTATCAAGGACATATTTGTCTGTAACTGTCGAAAGTCCGGCACTGTTGATACCATCTTCACTTCCCTGTCAAAAAAATCAATATTAGAGGTGACATTCTACAAAATACAACATCAATAGAATTACTTTGCTATAAAAAGATCTTCAGATCCAATAGGCAGAACTGGTGACCATTTTCATCAGTGAATTATGGATAACTTGGTATCAGAGCAACAAAAAAAAGGTTTATCAACACATTAGGTAAGACTATAAATGTAAACACAAAGCTAAAAAAATTAGTTATGCAATAAAGAAGTAAAAAAAAAAAAAGAATCATTTCCAGATTGCAAAACATAAAATACTGATACTAGGGACTATCATTAAAAGACCAAACAATAAGACTGTGACAGCACATTCATAAATATGAGATGGAACAGGTAAATATAAAATACAGAAAAATACATGTAATGCGATGATTAAGCAAAGATGATACTATCCATGTGAAGAAATGGAAATTGTGTGTGTGTGTGGGGGGCGGGGGGAGGAAAAAAGGAAAGTATGGCAGACAGCAGATTCTGGCCATTTCCACATATAACAACACCATGCTTTCAATCAGTCTAGGAAAATAACCTAAACATTTACCATACTCCTTATATAAAGACAACTTCTAGCCCTATCTCCCCCCACCCTATCTCCAAAACTTTTGTAAGGATAACATCAGAGTGACTGGATATGATAATGAGAGTGATAAGGCTATTGTCCATATAAACACATTATCATATTAAATACACGAGAAGTCATGATACTCCCTAAACACCATTAACTCCATGCCACTGGGAAAATGCAATGTTCATTTTAGTTTTCTTTAATAAAACATCTCTGCAAACAGATGGCTCAGCAAGTGCTCAGCCACCATAGTAGTCCTTGTGACCGCCTCACTTGATTTCCCTCTTCCTAAGTTTTAGGGGAGAACATTTTTTTTTACTAATCCTATCATTACTTTTATTAGAGACATTACAACCCATAATAATGTCACTAGCATTACTATTAGCAATAAAAAGCAAAAGAGAATATTTCCAAAAAACAAGAAAAAGGATAAACACGTGAGGTAGATAGTACTAGTAACTGACTTAAATTTGACTAAGTACTTGTGGAGTCATCTATGTGACTTGAAGTGCCATCTATGTGTAAAGACAATTAACCAAATGCCACCTAGGATGGCATGTACATACATGCCATGGCCACTGTGAGTTTAGTTATTAATTGTTTTACAAATAGATGGCTCTAAAAGTACTTCTTTTCCAATAAGTACAACCTATCTCAACCTATTGCCCTTTACCTTGATTTTTTAAAATATTTTCTTTGAACTTATATCTTCAAAGTTAAAAGTTCAGAAGAACTGCTGTTTTGAGGGTTGCCTACTAGATGCATCTATTTTTCTCCTTTTTATATCAGTCAGAATTAATGGTACTTAAATGATAATCTAAGCTTGTATTTTATATTAGCTATGATTCTGTAATATATATACAAAACAACAAAGTATGTAATGGTATAAAAAAATCAATTAAATAAAAAGCAAAGTGTAAACTCATAGTGATTACCAGGAATGAGGTGGAGTTCAGTATTTGGCAACAGCACATCAAATTAGGTGTCGTAAAGAGAATCAAGTGACTGGTTTTACCTGTCTATAGATGACTTTGGGCCATCAGAAATAAAGCCTAATGATAGCATTAGTAAAAAAGACATTTTTCAAAAAAAAAATCAAGGAAAGATGAAATCAAGTGAGATTGCAAGGTCTACTAATTGACAACTTCTGGAGCCACCTGTGTGCACAGATATTTTACAAAACAAATATATATATATAGTGAATACTACACTTTACAAGCAACATGGGTTAACTTCACTCACAGGTGGCATGGCATATTTGTATATGTCATCCCCAGCTGCAGTGGGTTAAAGTTCAGATGGAGCTTTTAGCATATAGGTTATGGATCCTGATTAGAGTGATGTACAAATCTTCTTATGAAAGAGACATTGACCATATCAATTCTCTAGTTTCATTTATCTTTAGATAAATGAAACTAGAAAATATAATGCTGCCAACCTTAATTAAATCACCATTTGCAGAGCAGCTAGCACTATTCATCAGAATGTGAGAGAAAATTCCATGATAAAATGTCTATCTAAGGCTATAACCAACGGTTTAATTAAAAGTTAAAAAGAACAGGGTACAACTATTTTTCAGCTTTATAGATCATAAAACAAAGAGATTGAAAACTGAAAATCACTATAATGACAGCTAAAAATCAGCATTAGTGAATTACAAATATGCAACTACAGTTACATGTCCTCAAAGAAAAATGGATGAAATAAAAGCACATAAAAAATTGTTAATGATAAAAAACTACACTTTCTACAGTGACCCTAATAAAGACTAAAAAAAAACAGTGTTGTGTATATCATGACCATATCCTAAAGACAGGGAGGGAAGGAAGGTAAAAAGGAAGGAAGGAAGGAAAAAAGGAAGGAAAGAAGGAAGGAAGCAAGGAAAGGAGGGAGAGGGAGAGAGAGAGAGAATAAAAAAATATGTATACTTTTTTATTAATCTTTCCAAAATCTAAGGAGGAAGTGTAAACAAATGTTTGGTAGGACTAATGATTGACTCCTTGGTGACTAAACACTCATGGAGCCATCTCTGCATTAACACAATAAATATAACATTGGACAAGCCACAAATGTCTTGCCATTTGCAGTCTGTGGTTTAGTTATTTGATATCTACAATCTGTTTACTCTGGGGTCCAAGGGCAAAAGATCACAGAACCTCAACTTTTACCCTGCATGTGCATATGTGTATACATATCTATATGTGTAAGTGTATTTAGATATGAGCATATACATCTATATGTATGAACATATATAGGTATGTAGATATTCATCCTTTTGTACAACTGTAAGTAAATACGTAAGTAAATAAGTAAGTAAGTAAATAAGTAAGTAAGAGAGAGAGAGAGAAGAGTGTGTGTGTGTGTGTGTGTGTGTGTGTGTGCATGTGTACATATGTACAACTTTCAGCTGGAGGATACCTCAACATCTGAGGCACTTTTACTTACAGATCCGGAGAAGAATTCTAGATCTCTTCTGTCAATAATGATGTCGTCATTGCCCCCATGTTCCGGTTGTGTCTTGCAGCAACAAGACCCCATTACGAACTTCCACACGCGGCACACATTGGCACTTCTCTCTGCTTAGCTTAGGATCATGGCACACAACATAATGATTTAGTTCTAGAGGGTCTCTTCTCTATTTTCCAGTGATACCCTGGTTTATACATAGTTACTAAATGGCTTCCGAGGTGCACATCACCGCAGGCAAACACTGGTTTTCGTGGACCAAGTAAGTTCCTTCCATCTCATGCTGGAGATAAAAAAGAGGTAAATATTTTTTACATCAAGCTATATATATCCATCTTCCTCTGAATTTTCTGTCACAGCCATTTTGTCAGCTTTCTATTACACAATGGTAGCACATCATCATACAGAACTTAACATTACAAATACATGAATATAACTGCTTTTCACTACAGTAATCTTCAGCCAAGGAAAATCATATCAGAATCCAGTAATACTTCAAGATCTACAAAAATTCTGAGGTACTCTCATAACCGTAACTGTTATCATAATCATAGTCATGATGGTGATGATGATGATGATGGTGATGGTGATGGTAATGGTGATGGTAACCATAAATGTAACTGAAACTAATTGTAATCATATTCATTACAATAATTACAATCATGATGATTAAAATAAACATAATCTGAATTATGATGATGATGATGATGATGATTATGATTAATAATAATAACAATAATAATAATAACAATTACAATAACAAAACAATAATAATAATAATAATATTAATAATAATATTAATAATAATAATAGCAATAATAATAATAATAATAATATTAATAATAATATTAATATTAATATCAATATCAATATTCATATTAACCCTTTGCCGACGGGCATGGCATGTACATATATGCCATACCCATTGTGAGTTTACTTGTTTGTTTTTACGAGTACCGCCTGTCTCGCCCGTTCACCTTTTTTGATTTACAAAAATATTTAACATTATCTAATAATAACAATACTAATAATAACAATAATAATAATAATAATGTTAATAATAATAATAATAATAATAACAATAGCAATAATAATAACAATAATAATAACAATAACAATAATAATAACAATAACCATAATAATAATAACAATAAAAAACAAAATAGAAACAGAAGCAAAATTGAAATTGAAATTCATATTAAAATTAAAATCAAATTTAACATGAACATTAAATTAGATTTTAAAAAATTAAATTAAATTGAATTAAGATTAAAATCAAAATTAGGGTTAAATTAAAATTAATTTTGTTTTTGTTTTTGTTTTTGTTTTAATTTTAATTTTAATTTTAATTTTAATTTTAATTTTAATTTTAATTTTAATTTTAATTTTAATTTTAATTTTAATTTTAATTTTAATTTAATTTTAATTTTAATTTTAACCCATTGCCGCCAGGGATGGCATGTACGTACATGCCATGCCCACTGTGAGTCAACTTGTACGATTATTTTTACACATAGATGGCTACACTGGTACTAAGGATCCAATGAGCCTATTACGAGTACTGCCTGTCTCGCCCGTTCACCCTTTTCATTGATTTATGAAAATATTTAATGTTATCCTCATTTGCTGTTAAAAATAACATATTATAGCACTAGTAAGAATACGTTTTTTCCCACCAATTCAAGGAAAGGTGAAATCAGGACTAACAGAGCCATCTATGGACAGAGATATTTCACAAAAATATTAAAAAATGAGTACTGCATTTCCCCCATTTTTTGTTAATTTTCCCCGGCGGCAATGGGTTAATTTTAATTTTACATTACAGTTAAAGTTAAGGTTAAAGTTAAAATTAAAGTTAAACATTATTATTATTATTATTGTTATTATTATAATTATTATTACTATTACTATTACTATTATTATTATTATTATTATTATTATCATTATTATTATTATTATTAATCATAATCATCATCGTCATCATCAAACAGACTTAAACTGAAACTGAAAATTTTAAAAAATAATAATAATAAAAACATATATAAAGATAAATATAAGTATCATCAGTATTATTAAATATCCCTATCATCATCATTATTATCATTATTATCTTGATTATCATCATTATCATCACTATTATTATCATCATAATCTTCATTATCATTATCATGATCATCATTATTATCATTATAATTATTATCACTATCATTAATATCATTATTATCATTATCATTACCATCACCATCATCATTATATGACTAACTGATTCCTTAGGAGATGTGGATGCATCTGTGTGCAACAAAATTCATCAAAAATATACACTGAGCAATGCAAAACCCCGGGCAAATAGGATAACAATATTAAGTCGTATTGAAAATATCAATATATTAATGAAAATTAGTCTATAAAAAAATGTCATTATAATGCCCATGATAATAGTAATAGTATCAATATTGATAGCAAAAAAAAAAAAGGTTAATAAAAATAATAATGATACTGATAATAAAAATGAGGAGGAGGAGGAGGAGGAGGAGGATTATGATGATGATGATGATGATAAACAAATTATTACTAACTTGTTGATAATAATAATAATAATAATACCAATATATATAATAATAATATTAATAATGATAATAATAATTATCATTATCATTATTATAATTATTATTGTAATCACTATTATTATTATCATCATCATATCATCATCATCATCATCATTATAAATATTATTATTTTCATTATTATTATAACAATAACAATAACAACAACAAAACAATAATAATAATAATAATGAGGAGGAGGAGAAAGGGAAGGAAAAGGAGGAGGAGGAGGAGGAGGAGGAGGAGGAGGAGGAGGAGGAGGAGGAGGAGGAAGAAGAAGAAGAAGAAAAGAAAAAGTAGGAGTAGAAGGAAGATGAGAATGAACAAGAGGAGGAAGAAAAGGAGGAGGGGGAGGGGGAGTACAGGAGGAGGAGGAGAACAGAAGTAGCTACAGGATTATAGAAGCACAAAAATACAGGAATATAGGAGTGCAGGAGTATAAGAGTATAGTAGCATAGTAGCCATAATAATAATAATAGCAATAGTACATCAATAGTAATCATAATCGTAATCGTAATCATCCCAACCACAATCATAATTGTATTCGCAACCGCAATCATAATTGTATTCGCAACCGCAATCATAATTGTATTCGCAACCGCAATCATAATTGTATTCGCAACCGCAATCATAATTGTATTTGCAACCGCAATCATAATTGTAATCAAAATCGTAATCATGATCAAAACCATAGTAGTGGTAGTATCATCATCATAATTATGATCCTTATCATTAATGTTCTTACCATCATTAATATTAATATCATCATTACAATCATCACTTTCATCATTATCATCATAATTAATACTAGTTTCATCATCATCACTATCACTGCAATAGTCTATTATTATCATTGTTATCATAAGCTTAGTCCTAAACTTTCGTGGATGCATGGGTTAGAACAGTGACCTTCTTCGAAAAAACTTTTATTTTCCAAAGTCCCAACTGGATGGCCTTCTTACTCAGACCAGTGCAGGGTACAGACTCCCTTCCCTTAGAGGTCCCATGCTGTCCACATTACTGTACTTGTGTCCTCTACTAAACACTATTTACATAATCATTGATGTTATTTGCATCATCATTATTAAGTGTTACTAATACTAATGGCGAGAAGTTACTTCACTGTCAATTTAATTAACTGAAGCTAATCTTGCCAGAATGTATAAAGTGGAGGTTTGTTGGCACTTGACATTGCCTCGCTAACATGTAATCTAGACTGGTGGTTCTAAACCTTTTAACTACCACGCCTCCCTTTAGGATTTTGCCTTTCCCTCCACTCCTCTCTTGCATCTTTAATTAAAATTCCCTCCCAGATTTCAAAGAAAATCATAAGTATGTTTTGTTAGTCTTTTTAATGAGTATGACTTCACAGCATTATAATCAAACTTTCTATTATATGACCATGCTCTTGTTGGGTGAATAACAAAGATAATTAGAGAAATGACTGCCTTTTTTCCAAGAGCTCGCACCCCCTTTGGAAAATAGTGAAGCCCTGCAGGTTAAGAACTACTGGTCTAGACTGTAAGCTTCCACTGCATATCTCAGCTTCAAGTTTCAAGTAGATTTAGAAAAACAGCCAATATAACTGAGAACAGAGCCCCTGTGTTGAAAGTCACTGTGGACGTCTTCTATTCATTTACCTCTATATCTGAACAATAATTTTTGAGGCTTTAGAAGTGTAAAGAAGTTTCTCATTATGGTTTTTGGTACAATAATCCATCCGATTATGCAGTTGCAACAAGGTACGATTTGCCTGAAAAAGTATGACTGAGAGTAACATTTTCAGTGTAAGTCTCTACTGTATTTTGTAAAGTTTATAGATGATGGGAGCTAAAATATATAAATCAAATATAAATTAAAGAGAGGAATGGATAAAAAAAAAATTAGCATACATTTAAAATACACCCATAGACCTGTCACAGACCTTGCACCAATGACCTGACAATCTTTTGGTAAAGCCCAAGGATCTCCATCAGACTTATTGGCTACTCTGCCAAGGAGTGAGTTTGCAGACCTCCCTGGAAATTCATCCTCAAATAAGGGTTAATGTTACCAAGAGCGATGCAGAGAGATAGAGGGAAACGGACACCATCGTCTCATACCGCACAAGAAATACTGAGAAACACAGCTGCCTCATATTTACCGCAAAATGACAAAAATATCTGCAGCATATCACCGCTCAGAGACTAAGTCCACAGCACCCCACACGGCCAGAGTTCTAAATGTCACTTTTCTGTAAGTCCTTCCCTATCATTCCTCGTGGCCACAGCACATCCGCACCCTCCACAATGGTGTCACAAATATTTTCTATAACAAAACTGTTGTGGAATTTGACACACAGTGCTGATAAAGGGGGGGGGGGAGCACAGGGGGCCTTACCCACCAGGTCTGGGTATAAAACAGAAGGTACAAGGAAACAGACTTTGACTTTAGGGTTCGCACAATACCCTCATTTTGGGACCCTTGGCCACAAACGCCCCAAATACGACCCATTCCTAGTCCTATCCCGTTAAAATGTATGCGACGAAAGTTTGTTGAACTTTGCCATCATGCCGAATCCCTAGGCTAGTGACAGCCATCTGACACCAAAACTATCACCTGGACATCAGATCTTAAGCCATACGTCACAGACCAGAGCAGGGGTGAGTTTCAGACGAATACGCATTATTACGACTATTACTATTATTATTACTATCATTATTACTATTATTATTACTATTATTATTACTATTATTATTACTATTATTATTACTATTATTATTAAGATTATTACTATTATTATTACGACATTACGACTACGCATAGAGGTCAGTCGACAAAATGCAGAAAAACAATTCCCGCTCCGAGTCAGATTTTCTATTCCCCCTTTAACTACTGTGCTGTCTCATCTTTCATCACCTTTCTCTTATTCTTAGTTTCTCTTACTTCTCTTATTCTTTCTTTCATTAGCATATTTTGTCTCTCTCGTCTTTCATCACGTTTCTCTTATTCTTAGTTTCTCTTACTTCTCTTATTCTTAGTTTCTCTTACTTCTCTTAGTCTTCCTTTCATTTCTTTTCTATTTTCTTTAATTACTCTTATTATCTTATTCCTTTCACCTAATTCTTTTTCTTCCTTTTCCCATGTTTCTTACACTTATTCCATTATCCTTTAAATATGATTTCCTTATTTGATTCTATTATTCAGTTGTACTTCTTATTCTATTCTTATTTCCCTTATTCTATCTCTTATTTCCCTTATTCTATCTCTTATTTCCCTTATTCTATCTCCTTATTTCCCTTCCTTCGTTTTTCCCTTCTTATTTCCCCCTCTTTCTCCTCTTTCTTCTCCCTTTTCTTACATATTTTCGCTTTCATTGCCTTCCTGGGATCTTTCTCTCCTTCCTCTTCTTCTTCTTTTCTTTCTCTTCTTCTCTATTTCGCTTAATTATCACCAAAGACGTGAATTTTCTGCCTTAAACAAGAAAACAAGAAAAACAAGAAAAACAAGTAAACAAGTGAGTCAATCTGTGCATTCGAGTTGGATGATTTTTCTTTTTTTTTTTTTGGTATTTTAATTCTCATTTGTGTTATATTTTTTTGGGGGTGGTAATTTAGAATAAATAATTTTCTAAAGTGTCATCATTATTATTATTCGTGATGAATGGAAAAGGATGATAACTAATATTATGAAAAATACATTCGAGTCGGATTTTTTTTCGTATTTTAATTCTCAATGTGTTATTTCTTTTATGGTGGTCATTTAAAATAAATAATTTTCTAAAGTATCATTACTATTAATTGTGATAAATGGGAAAGTGATGATAACTAATATTATGAAAAATACATTCGAGTCTGGATTTTTTCTGGTCTTTCCTATTTCCTGTTTCTCTTTTTTTCTATATATTTCTGAGATTGGTTTAGCTATAACAGATAAATATTTATTCTTGGTAACAGATGAAACCTTCTTCGTGTTTATTATAAGCCGATTATTTAAGGAATTTTGAGAGGAACTATTTAGAATTCGTTGATGCATTAATTATAATTTACATTTACATTCACCTTAAGTTTTAGTGAAAATCGATAAAATAGATAAAATATAGATAAAAAAATAGATAAAAAATGAAAAGATATATAAAATAGATAAAATGAAAAATACATAAAATAGATAAAATGATAGATAAAATGATAGATAAATTAGATAAAATGATAGATAAAATAGATGAAATGATAGATAAATTAGATAAAATGATAGATAAAATAGATGAAATGATAGATAAATTAGATAAAATGATAGATAAAATAGATGAAATGATAGATAAATTAGATAAAATGATAGATAAAATAGATGAAATGATAGATAAAATAGATAAAATTAAAAGATTGATAAAAAAAATGAAAAGGGATAAAGAGGAGAGGACGGAAGGTGAGGGGAGGAGGAGAAGAAATGGGAGAAAGAAGAGAAAGATTAATGATGATGATGATGATGATGCTAATGATGCTAATGATGATGGAAATGGGATGCTAATGAACAAAAAGAACTAGAAAACAAAAAAAAAAATACAAAAACAAAAAGGAACAATCAAAACAAGGACAGAAGATGAAGAAAAAGAAGAAAGGGAGGAAGGAAAGGATAAGAGAGAGAGAGAGAGAGAGAGAGAGAGAAAGAAGAGAGGCACGGAGAGAGAGAAAGAGGGGAGGGGGAGAAGGAGGGAAGGAGGGAGAAGGAAGGAGAGAGGGAGAGGGGTGGAGGAAAATAGAAAGATGTATAATACCAATTAAAATAAGAGAGGAGGGGGAGATTGCATAGAGTATATGTTGATTCCCTGATTCACATCATTCATGCGTGAAATATATAGACAGATTTATTAGAGTGCATAATTATTTAAAGGCATCTCCTGTGAATTCACGGATTCGCTTTACACGAACCGCGTGGTCTTCCTAAAATGATTTTTTTTCAAAACCATTTTTTTTACTTTGCTACTTACAAATTTGAGTAATAAGAACAATATTGCCATGATATTTTTCCCTCCTATACTAACCAACTACAACAAACTGACATAATTCCCTAAAAAAGAGAAACACGAAAATAAAAAAGCTAAAAGAATGTCTCATGGATCCGCGGATTTATGAATTCACAGACTACGAACGGCATGGTTTTGTTGTCATTGGAAGTTAAATCGCGAACCTCACGTACTTAACTTTTTAAAGCAATATGCCCTTCTTTATCAGAGGAAAAAGACCACAGACAAGGCCAGATAAGGTGATATTAATGTCCTTTTTATGTTTGTTGTGTTTATTTGTTGATTTAATTTGTGGTTTTATTTATATGAAGCTGAACATGCTGTTTCCTGATCTATCTCGTTACGTATATTTTTTAGATATATTTTAGGTTTCTGCTGTTCGGAATTATACATTATTTAAAGAATTATTGATTGTATTTCTAGCTTTAAGTGTAGTTTAGTGCTGTAGTTCTCAACTTTTGCAGTTTGATAGCAAATTAAAGTATCAGTATATCGAGAGAGAGAGGAGAGAGAGAGAGAGAGAGAGAGAGGAGAGAGAGAGAGAGAGAGAGAGAGAGAGAGAGAGAGAGAGAGAGAGAGAGAGGAGAGAGAGAGAGAGAGGAGAGAGAGAGAGAGAGAGAGAGGAGAGAGAGAGAGAGAGAGAGAGAGAGAGGAGAGAGAGAGAGAGAGAGAGAGAGGAGAGAGAGAGAGAGAGAGGAGAGAGAGAGAGAGAGAGAGAGAGAGAGAGAGAGAGGAGAGAGAGAGAGAGAGAGAGAGAGAGAGAGGAGAGAGAGAGAGAGGAGAGAGAGAGAGAGAGAGAGAGAGAGAGGAGAGAGAGAGAGAGAGGAGAGAGAGAGAGAGGAGAGAGAGAGAGAGAGAGAGAGAGAGAGGAGAGAGAGAGAGAGAGAGAGGAGAGAGAGAGAGAGAGAGAGGAGAGAGAGAGAGAGGAGAGAGAGAGAGAGAGAGAGAGGAGAGAGAGAGAGAGAGAGAGGAGAGAGAGAGAGAGAGAGAGAGAGAGAGAGAGAGGAGAGAGAGAGAGAGAGAGAGGAGAGAGAGAGAGAGAGAGGAGAGAGAGAGAGAGGAGAGAGAGAGAGAGAGAGGAGAGAGAGAGAGAGAGGAGAGAGAGAGAGAGGAGAGAGAGAGAGAGAGGAGAGAGAGAGAGAGGAGAGAGAGAGAGAGGAGAGAGAGAGAGAGAGAGAGAGAGAGAGAGAGAGGAGAGAGAGAGAGAGAGAGAGAGAGAGAGAGGAGAGAGAGAGAGAGAGAGAGAGAGAGAGAGGAGAGAGAGAGAGAGAGAGAGGAGAGAGAGAGAGAGGAGAGAGAGAGAGAGAGAGAGAGAGAGAGAGAGGAGAGAGAGAGAGAGAGAGAGAGAGAGGAGAGAGAGAGAGAGAGAGAGAGAGAGAGAGAGAGAGGAGAGAGAGAGAGAGGAGAGAGAGAGAGAGAGGAGAGAGAGAGAGAGAGAGAGAGAGGAGAGAGAGAGAGAGGAGAGAGAGAGAGAGAGAGGAGAGAGAGAGAGAGGAGAGAGAGAGAGAGAGGAGAGAGAGAGAGAGAGAGAGAGGAGAGAGAGAGAGAGAGGAGAGAGAGAGAGAGAGGAGAGAGAGAGAGAGGAGAGAGAGAGAGAGAGGAGAGAGAGAGAGAGGAGAGAGAGAGAGAGAGAGAGGAGAGAGAGAGAGAGAGAGGAGAGAGAGAGAGAGGAGAGAGAGAGAGAGAGAGAGAGAGGAGAGAGAGAGAGAGAGAGAGAGAGAGAGAGAGAGAGAGAGAGAGAGAGAGAGAGAGAGAGAGAGAGAGAGGAGAGAGAGAGAGAGAGAGAGAGAGAGAGAGAGAGAGGAGAGAGAGAGAGAGGAGAGAGAGAGAGAGAGGAGAGAGAGAGAGAGGAGAGAGAGAGAGAGAGAGAGAGAGAGGAGAGAGAGAGAGAGAGAGAGAGAGAGGAGAGAGAGAGAGAGGAGAGAGAGAGAGAGAGAGGAGAGAGAGAGAGAGAGAGAGAGAGAGAGAGGAGAGAGAGAGAGAGAGAGAGAGAGCAGTATATCCAGTATATCCACTTCAGCTACACGCCTGCTCTTTACTCCATTAAGTTAAGAAAATAAATGTAATTTGCATATATACAGTTTTTTATCCCCTTGTAAATGTAGAAGTTGCTGTAACTTACTCGAAAAAAAATTAACAAGATATAATGAATGGGTGAATTTAGTTCACAACTTCAGCCAAAATTATTAAGGTGTTTACCAGGGAATTGTGATATTTTTAATTTATTTCAGAATAGACTGAATAATGTGTATGTATGTAGTAGCTCCTATTTTATTGTTCTGTAATAGATTAATATGTTGTTGTTTTTATATATGCCAACTATGATTACCAGTGTCCATGCCCAACTGAGCTACACATTTGAGTGAAAAGTTAATAGCATGGGAAATATGTTCCCATTTTGGCAATGACATGTAAGATTTTTAGCAAAAGAGACTAAGGAAAGACTGAAATTCTTGGATCACCCTGTTTCTAAAATCTCACATATAAATGTATATATGTATCTCTCTCTCTCTCTCTCTCTCTCTCTCTCTCTCTCTCTCTCTCTCTCTCTCTCTCTCTCTCTCTCTCTCTCTATATATATATATATATATATATATATATATATATATATATAATGAAAATGGGTTTGATCTCTGTATTCAGATAGACAATGAGTAAGTCTTAATGAAAACACAATTTTTAGAGAGCTGTAGCATGAATGTAGAAAGTGTTATAATGCATTCATCTTTCTGAATAAATTGAGACCTGTTCCATCCTCACTTAAAAATTATACCTTAATGAGACAGAAAGGCACTGGTTTTGACTAATGTAAATGAGACTGATTACATTATACTCAGAAAAATGATGGTCAAAACATGTTTGTTCTACTTTTTCTGATTATAACATAAATAACACAACTATAACATAAATACATGATAAAAAAAGGAAAACAGATACCATTGTTCTTTAGAATATGAGATTAGACCCATCTTCATGAGTTGAGAATTACGACATGAGCCTTGAAGTAACATAAAATAATAATTAGAAGAAAAGAAGGGAGATGTATGATGTTGAAAAGGAGAAATATGTTAGAATATTCAATGAAGACAACTTGTTCTTTTTTTCACCCTAATTATGCCTTCCTCAGTAGTAGTAGTAGTAGTTTTTTTTTTCCACAAGAATCTGAGACTTTTTAGCATCAGGAAATGGATCAGGTCCCAGAGTCAGGATCTTTGGCTTTACTGGCATCAAATAATTGGTTAAGATAAAGCACAAAAATAGAGAGAGGGAGAGAGAGAATCTTTTAATGTTTCTGTTAGTGCAAAATATTGGAGAATTATGATATGTATATCTGAATAAAAAATGGAAGACTGGAATGGAGCATTTTATCTGAGTAAAAAAGGCCTATTTTCATTGGTAAAAAGTTATAACTGGAGTAATAGCAGGAAGCCTCTATTTTTAATAAAGAGTAAAAAAAAACTTTTTTGACAGCTCTATAGCTAAAGAATAGCTTTAAGAGCTGCATTAGGAAAGAGTAATAGGGTTAAAAGCAGAAATGGCTTTTTTGTTTAAAGTGATGAATAGATTTTAAAAAAAACTAAAACTAGAGAAAAAAAAATATTTTGTATTTATTCTCTAAGGGCTAAAAATTATATTTTGATTTATGTATTTTATCAGAATTGATTTCATGTACTTTTCTTTTATAAATCCTTTTCAGAAACCTAAAAGAATCATCAAGAAAAATGGCCAGCCTCCAGTCAAGAGACCCAAGGTACAGAAGGACCTGGATGAAGAAATTACAAGCGAGGAGGATGAATACATCAAGGGAAAACAAGAAAAGTTTGAAGAATATGAAACCGCAGAAGACCTAGAGACGCCTCAGGAGAAGAAAGTGAGATTAGCACGACAGTATATCAAAGAACTGGAAGAGCAGAGTAAGTTCCAGGGGGCATTTGCTGTGAAAATGTTAAATGATGTTGAGATCTCACAGTCCCCCCCCCCCCCCCCCCCATTACAGTACAGGCAGAATTCAATAATCAGTTTGTTAGCACTCGGTTTCTTTTGTATCTTTATATCTTTCTCAGCTTTTAAAAAAGAAATTGCAATATTCTTCGAATTGTTTTACATGCTATATTTCCATAAACAGAAGCCAATGACCAGGAAGCTAAACGTGTCGACTATGATGCCATTGGACATCGTCTTCAAGAGGACGTGTGGGAGGCATCTGGCAAGCTGTATAAACCAGTCGCCGATACCATAGCTGAAGCTGACATGGAAAATATCCTCACCCTTAAATCAAAACAACAGAAGTTACCCATCACTTGTATGGCTATGACAAGTGATGATCAGTTTATCTTCTGTGGATCTAAAGACTGCTCCTTAGTTAAATGTAAGGATTTTTTTTCTCTCTCTCCTCATCGTCTCCTCTTTTCTTACTATTTCTTTTTTTTTTCTTTTCTTTTTTTTTGTGCAGAATTCCTGTTTCTTTCCATTTTCTTTCTACTTATTTCTCTTTTTTTCAGTATAGATTTCCTTGGTAAGATAAGAGTACAGTTTGATCTTTAATATTTTTGGAATTCATAATTGCACTTTGATATTTGAGTAGATTAACATGATTTAATGAGAGTGTTATGGAGGTTGTTCTGCTTTCCAGTTATCATTAGCTATATATTCCCCAAAAGTGTAATTGTGAATGGTTTGTCTCTCTCTCTCCTCTACAGACACCATAGATGGCAAGAGAGTAGCTACTATACCAGGGGGACGTAAGGGAACAGAGAAGGTTCACACTGGCCATACAAGCCATGTGTACTCCATAGCAGTGTCATCTGATGGAATGTTCCTTGTGAGTTGAAAGGGAAACTGTGTTTGCAGCTGTATTCTTCTAGACTGTAAATGCTTTGAAGAACTTGAAATTTTTCACATTTATTTACAGCAGATTACTTGCACTGTCCACTGTATTTTTTTGTCAATTTCTCTTTATTAGAATGTACTGCTTCACAGGTACTTAGTCACCAATTACGTTGCCTGTTTAAGTTGAATTTTCTGTGAAAAAAATATTATCATAAGCATTATTATTATAAAATTATTAATAATACTAATAAGAATACAGACTCTTCTGAAAATTCTTTTCATTAGTGGTAGAATATATAACATGCCACTTCCAGATTTCTCTTTAGATATAATAAATTATAATCTTTATGATTATCAGTACATATAGTAATGTAAGATTCATAATGTTAGAGTAATGTTCTGACAAATGCTATTATACGCTGCTCAGTGGCTGATTGGGCTGATCTAAGGTTCTGGAGTTTGAGGCTCTCTAGTGCATGAGTGACCAGGTCCCCAACTATTCTTAGTACATGGAGAGGTGGTAATCTGTAGAATCTGTACATCAAGGCTATGCTTCATTTAAGAGGGGCCCACTTAATTTATTATTCATTAAATTGCTACATAGATTTTCAATAAGATATATTATAGTACATGAGTTTACTCTAGTAGTAGTATTACAACAATCATTATTATGCACAATATTTTTTGTATGTTTATCCTGAAAATTGTGGTGTACTTGGTTTGGGTAAAATATAGAAAAAAAAAATGAATTGATAAATTTTGTATAGAGTAAAGTCTAGTTGAGGAAGCTTACAAAAGGCCAATTTAACAGGCATCTGGTGACCAAGGAGGTTACATACATATCTGGAATGCAAAAACAATGGAGTTCCTGAAGACCTTCAAAAAACATCGTGCTGCGATCTCTGGACTGGCCTTTCGGCGAGGATCTCATACCCTCTACTCTTGCTCTCATGACCGAATGGTGATTGTCTGGAATATTGATGCCATGGCATTTGTAGAACACTTGTAAGTTGTTTCTTATGTTCAGTAATCATTTTATCTATGATCCTTATTTTCTGAAGTGTAAGTAGTTTCCCAATTATACTCTTGTAAATGTGCAAGGTGATAGTCTATGATTATTCACTTTTCAAGATCCAATTTGTTTAATGATAAGTTTATCAGTGTGTTGATGCCAAGAGTGCATTTATGCATGCACTTGTTGCCTAAAAAGTCTAAAGGTTGGCAGTGTATTTCACTTGCCTTTTTCTCTTGACATGAATAAATATCATAGGAACACTATTTCCTTCTATAGCTTTTGATTAAATTATTATTTATGTATTCTGTATTTTGATAATTTCAGAGTAGATGAATAAGAATTGATAGTTAATCTCTTTACTTCAAAACAAATTACAGTGAGTCCATCTACTTTTTTTCAGAGGAGGCCATCAAGATGCAATTACAGGCATAGATGCACTGCATAGAGAGTCTTGCATAACCAGTGGTGGGCGAGACCAGTCAGTGATTGTATATGTCATTGTTGAAGATAAGCAGCTGCGTTTTTCAGGTCATCAGGATTCTATAGATGGTGTCAAGCTATTAAATGAAAGAACATTCTTCACTTATAGTCAAGATGGGTAAGATTTGAATTGTATATTTTTGTTTTGCATGTGTAATTGATAACTGTCTAGAGCATGGTTGTCTAATTCATGGTCCACAGCTCACGTGTGGCACTCATTATGGTAATAATAATATTATTATAAAGGGAAGATGCATTTAACAATCATGAATGAAAATCATCGTTTAAAAACTAAAAAGAAAAATACTTCTAGTATAGTTAGTGGAAAATAAAGTAAAAGCTGCAATTTCCATGGTAGTTTTTGTTCTGCATGTATTATGTCAGGATATTTTAGACCTCGTATGTTTAAAAATATAGAAAATTAAATTGTACAATAAATTGTAGCAGCCCATGATTAATGTATATACATATACACTTCCATAAACTGGGTTCACCATTTTTATTAGAAATTTCCAGTTTTATTATGCATCTAAGCTTTACGTTAGTATTTTTTATATTTGAACGTTACATATTATATATTTTGTATATGATACTTGCATGAAAATGCAAACTTTTAATATTTTGCGTTTAAAGACAAATAGAGATTAAGTTTATTTTTATTTCTTTTATACTGATTTTTTTTTTTTCTTCTTTTTTTTTTTTTTTTTTTTTTTTAACTAAATGTTTGCATGAAATCTGAGGGGGAAAAAAATTGAATTGCACCAACACACGTTTGAATCATTACAAGCATGATTTTTTTAGATTGCAAGAAGAGTTATGGAAAGAAATTAAGCTGCACTGTAAAAACTTGTCTTCTATTTTCCAGAACAATATGCATGTGGATCACAAGCAAGAAGCGACCACAGTGTGTTCACAAAGCTGCACATGGCTACCAGGCCAATGGACAGCCTCACTGGATCACCGCCATTGCCACAATGGTCAACAGTGATCTACTTGCGTC